ATATACAGTTTCTTGATCGAAACTTTCCACTTAATCTTTCACTAGAGTTCCATTTTTGATCATAGACCAGAAGCCAAACTCTGTCATTATAAGTGCATGTCTTGTTACGTATCAAATTGCATCTAGTGGAAGTGATATCTAATGGATGGTATTTTGTATGATAAAAAACATTGTTTAGCTTCATAATTATAGTTTAATAACTTTTCCTAATTTTTATTATAATTTCATATAAATTGATTAGGAATCATATGAAATTTTACCAAATATAAAGATATTTTTTCAAGCTTCAAGATTTATTTTTAAAAACCCTACAGTTAAATAGTCAAAATTAAGAATATATATTATATAGAATATATAGAATATATTTAGAATATATATATTTTCAAAATATATTATATCTTGCAAAAAAAGAGAAAGAAATATACTCAAATAATAATAATATTAATTCAGATAATGATATTGAATATTACTCGATAATCTAATTAAACACTTGTAAAAAATATACAAGCACACGAAATTGAAATTTCCAAATATTTCCCAAACTCGATCGATCTGAATTAAATTCTAAAATTTTCCCTCCACTGTATATATATACAAGAAATGAATACTTGTCAAATTTACGTCAAATGTTTGAATCATAGATGCACCCCTTCCTCCTCCATGGTAATTTTTCCACATTCTCCGCGAATTTTTTTCACTTTCGCAACTGTCATGACCAAACGATCGTTGCGGATAAACCCGAGAGAATAGTTCAATCTATCGCGATATTGTAGCGGGTGAACCGAGAGGATCGAAGCCAACTCTCTCTCTCTCTCTCCCTCTCGAAGATCGTATGGACAATATTTGGATCACGTGATCACGAGAAGAGAAATATCGTGGAATTTTCCGTTTCCAAGAGTTCCAGTTATATTTGTTTTCCTTTTCTCCCGCGCCCCGTGTTATCGCCTCGAAGGGGGATTTTCGACCACCCCACAGCTCCCTCGGCAACGGAGGGAGGAAAGGAAAGGAGCCGTGGTTCCACGTTGGAACTAATTTCACGGCGAATCGCTCGAATCCCTCCGACTCCTTTATTAGATTTCCCACGGCCAGTGTACATGAGACGAATGAGCGGATCAAGAAACGGGGGGGAGGGGGAGGAAGAAGAAGAAAGGAGCACGCTACGGGGAGGGAGGGTGGAGAAAGTTGCCGGAAGGAAGAGGAAAAAAACGACTGATCGAGGGGGAGAGGATAAACATGAATGGAATATATCGAGGGGGAGAAACGGTAGTTTGGAAAAGGGGTGAAGTTTGTAAAGATGCTTTTCGAGCGGAATAAGACAAAATTGTACGATTATTTTTTTTTTTTTTTTTTTAGCAGCGAGGAAAAATCGATCTCTTCGTGTGAAAATTCATTCTTGAAGAGTGTGTGTTTTGATGTAGTTTTTTAATTTAGTTAATTTTCACGATATAATTCGTTCGGTTTTGAATTTCTTTCTGTTCAAAATTATATTTAGGGGAACATTAGTGGATCTTTTGTAATATTTTGGTATATATTATATATTCTATTTTTTCGGTTGTAAAATCATGACATAAAATTCTACTAGCATAGCATTTCCTTAAATAGATTATTTCTTTTTACGTGTTTGATGCATTTTCTTCCCTATTGTATTAAAACAATTTATTTCAAAATTCGATATTTTGCCTAAAATTTAATCGTCAATTATAATTACCAACTTCGGTCTATATGCGATGTTATTAATGTTCGGTATTTTCGAAAATCAATTTACGGTATTTGGAAACAGAATTCATTAGATTTCAACAACCTAAATATTACATAATACATAATACATAAATAATTTTTCCTTCCTGTTAAAAATCATCGGTTAACGAAATATAAATTTTCTTCCAATGCCAACGGGAATAATAATTACACAATTTATTTTATTAATATCAAAAAATTTGTCAAAAAAAAAAAAAAAAGAATCGATTATGAAAAAACGAGTAATGATAAACTATCATCTATTCTCCAAAGGTTAAAAGTTAAATTGAACTTTTCGTATTTCAAATGAAAGTAGTTTCGAAATAATCCAAACTATTTTCCACGACTATGGAATATATGAAAATTCGCATCGTTGGTTATCTAAATTCTCATTAATTCTCTCTCTCTCTCTCTCCAAATAAATTTGCAAGTGGAAATAAATTTGCAAAAATCGTGAATAGGTTGGAGAAGAGAGAGGCTAGACGAAAACAGATTCGAATACAGATCGAGAGAGATTCTCTCAGATATTCAGTACACGTCAACGAAGGGAGGGGTGGTTGATGTACAGAGAGGTGGTGGGTGAAAGGGAAGGGGAAACAGGGGTTGCCGGGTAACAGAGAGGTAGGATAAGAGTTCCCAGGGGTGCCTAGCAACCTGTTGCTACCCTAAAATTTCGACCGGCTGGAATGAAGTGTGGGTGGGCAGGGATGCGAGTATCTATAAATGTACTGGGTGTTTCTTTCTAAAAATTCCAAATTCCAAATTTCTGTGAATAATATGTTGACGTTTGATGAATTCTCCCTTAGATTTAACCAACGATAGGCATTTGATCAATCACGCGCACGTGATTTAATTTCATTTTTGAAAATACAAGAATTAAAATAAAAGGTCAAAATTAAAGTTTCTTGTCGAATATGATAAAATTTGTAACTGAAAAGCTTTTAAAAAAATTGCACGTTTTTTAGTTTTGCATTGGAAATCCATAACATAACGAATATATTATTTTATGGCAGAAAGATAGGGTGTGAATAATCGAACGGTAGGATCATAAAATGAAGAGCGATATTTTTTTTTTTTATACAGAATTTTTTTATATACAGTTTGATAAATGGTTGCGAAAAAGATTCCAGAGAGCAATAATTTTTTTACGATGATATTTTAACGACAATCTTATCGATCCAAATCGAAGATCTATTTTTAACCCTCTGTTTAAGCTGGCTCACTTTTGATCCATATCTCTGACTATATATATATATATA